CAGTGAGCTTTTCTGGTCTCACTGAGCAAAGCTCAGAGTGCACTTAAACACATTTACACAGAGCTTTTCAACACTGAACTACTCTGCAGCACTTTGCCTATCACACACACTCGCATTTTGCTTATTTGACTGCACCAGCTGTGTTGCTTTCAGCAGGTGGTTGTATTTTTGTACTATTACAATCTGATCATCATAAAATAGACTGCTCGGTTGCCATCGGACCTGTCCCTATTTGTGGTTAGTCATATGCTGCCAACACAGCCTCTTCAATGTGAGCTACATTTGACTGATCCATCCGATAACCACTTACCTATTACCAGTGATATGATAACGGAAGGCAGAAAAGACAAAGATATCACATATATATTGAATCGTAGTATAGGCCCAAGCTTTGTTCTTTTTTGAACAAGCGAAGTGACATATCTCCAAAACAAAACCAAAGCATTAAAAGCAGCGTTTGAGGGGGTCGGCTTTTCTTACCAGTGTTTCTAAACAAGACATGTGATGGGCGGTCCTTCATGGTCAAGTCCAGGACTGAAAGACCCTCCTTGTCTTGGGTGGAGAGAAGTCCCCCATGCTGCAATAAAAAATTCAAAAGTAGGTCAAAGTTTGAGTCTCTTCAGAATAATGTTTGCCATTTTACAGTACTGAAAGCTTTGATTGGACTGTTTCTTCTTGGTAATAATTTAATAGACACAGTGGTAAATTTTAATGGCACTCCATCAACACACACCTTGACCAGTGATATGAGACAGTGGATCTGTCCATAGAAGGCGCTGCGGTGCAGAGCGGTCCAGCCAGACTCCTTATCCTTAAGCATCAGGTCAGCACTTTTGATTTCCAGCAGCCACTCCAGCAGGGACTTCTTACCCAGTGAGGCTGCCAGGTGCAGGGCTGTACGACCGAAGGCATCCCGCAAAGTGGCCGCATTGTGGCAGTGTGAAGTCAGGAAAGCCCGGAGCTGCCCCTCAGAGCCGCTTGTTAGTGCAGCAACCACCTGGTCTGCATGCTGCTGTGAGCGGCATTTGGGGGTGCAGTCCAGCGGTGCCTGACTCATCCTGACCTCTGACAAATCTTCACAGTGAAGCCCTTCTCCTCTTGGCAAAGACCTTCTGCCAGCCCACCACCAATAATGGCAAACACACTCAAAAACAATGTAATGTGTGGCAACAAACAAGAGAAACACTGTCAAAAAAATCGGGGAAAAAATAGGACAAAAATAAAACAGCCGAGGTAGATTGGAGTGCTAGAATTGTGCTTGTGTTGAGGTTCCACCGCACCCTAGCGACTCCAGAGCTCTGCGTGACTCGTTTCAGTCCACCATTTCGACCAAGGACCGCACACAAGGCTGGGTGCTTGCAGTGTACAATGGCATCAGGACTTTAATAAATAGAAAACTTCTTTATGAATTTATACAAAAGAAATTGTACAACATCTGCAAAAATAGTCTTCCCTCTAATTATGTACAAAAGGCAACAACACCAGCCCTCTGACCTTCTCCTCCTGCAGTCCCAACCATCAAACCTGAGGGGAAAGGCCACCTTCCCCCCCAAATTTTCACACCTCTTTTTCACAACTCCATAATTGTAGAGTGTACCTAAAGGAGAAAGTTGAAGCACACATTAGTGACAAAACAGCGTCCTCATTTTGATTACATGTAATCACGTGTGCAATAGTCAAATACAAAAGTGTAAACTTCAGAACAAGTCTGCCCTAAAATCAGTCTGAAGTAGCTCGAGTCAGCTGAGTTTACAAGGTTTAATGTTGACTAATCACCACGATTATGTAACAGGCTAACTTAGCTTAGCTTAATGTTAACTGCTGTTATTGTCCACTCACCATTTGGTCTCGCTAATGGTCAGCTAAAACACCCTTGATGTTAAGGCCTAGTGGCCCCATTTCTTTAATAGAAACAGTCGTAACTCCTTTATTGCTTATCTAACTTGCTGCAGAAGCAGGCTGTGCACAGCAGCTACTTCACCCAGTAGTATTAGCTCATCCTGCCTAACAGGGTACTGCAACATAGATAATTTCAAAGCGGGATAAACGCACCGATTTGGACATGTTTGAAAATCAGCCCAGTATAGTTAATTGAAGACAGTTACCTAATACTACTTTGATAGCTCGCTTAGCTGACACATCATCGCAAGCTAACGTTAGCAAGGAAATGACCGTCGGGGTATTTCTTACCTTCCGCTAGTGAAAGAAAAAAGAGGACATGGAGAAAGTAGCATCAACGACGTAAATCCACTGTGTCATTACTACAAATGGAAAACGCAATGTATTTTTTCGCCGGTACGAATTTTGGACAGGTATGAGCCCCTGCAGGTTAGGTAAGAGAGCTTGCGTCAATGTCAAGACTTCTGATTGGCCACGGCTCCTGCATCCTGATGTCCCATTGGCGGATTTTTGGGGCGGTCAGTTGAGTTCAGAGTGTGTTGTCGCTCTGTGGGTGATGTCATAGGATGCGATTTTGACATTTAGTTTCCTATACCAAGATTATTCTGGTTAACTAACACTAAATGAAAAACTAAAACTGCATAATTTTTTTTTAGTTAACTACAATAAAAATAAAATATTCTGGGGGGAAAATAAAGCTAACTGAAACGATTTTGTGACCTCAAAATTAACTAAAATAAAATAAAAAAATATAGAGGAAAACCTTAGTTTTAGTATTTCTTAGTTTGATGAAAATAAAATAAATAATAATAACTATTATTATTATTATTATTATTATTATTATTATTATTATTATTATTATTATTATTATTATCATTGTTACAGTTTGGCTGATGACTCTGTGTGTCTACAAGACTGTTAAAATTTTTAAAAAGTTCAAAAAGTAAACTGAAACAAGAAAACCCAGTATGGACCCAAACTAAAACTAAGCTTAATTAAAAACAAAAAGTCAAAATGAAATAAAAACAGAAACTGATCAGAAAATACAAAACTATAATAACTGTGCCTTGTACATATGTTAACGAATAATAACATAATAAAAACAAAAAATGAAAACATACATACCATAAATATTACATCTTAACAAGCTTGCAGATTAATCAAGAGAAAAGACAATAATAAGCGTTCCATAGAAGCAAGAATTCATCGTTGAATATTTTTTAAATGACTAATGCTATTCGCACTTAAATATAAACTTTGAGGATAAACTAATAGGATAGAAAATGTTTTAAAAACCATCTCTGATCATTGTTTTGTTTCTTCAACAGTGAATGAAAACTTATGTGATGATCAACATTTTGAGTTTACCACATTTAGCGTTAATATAACACGAAGATGTAAAGTTTGTAGGTTCTCCAGAAAAGCATCATGTAGTTAGATATTCAGAATCCAGGTTTCATGGAATTACACAGATGATTGGCATATTGGCCAGGACTATGAATAGCAGAGGGTCAAAGGAGGGTAACGCTAAGATTATGCTCAGATACACACTAGGGGCTGCTCCTAAATATGCCATATTAATGAGCACTCCCTCCCTCACCGTTCAAGCTTATGACTCTTGTTCAATTGCCCAGACGATGCTTCTACTACAAGGCCCCAGTCAGGTACAATTACAGCCAAACAGTTATGCCGTAATTAATGGGGATCAAAAGCATGTTTAGAAATTACACATATAGTACTATATTAATACACAATATCCAGGCACTTTTTGTGTTTTCTTTACTGTTATTAAATTGAGTATTTTGCTGACATGTAATAAATCTTCACGGTGTTCCTTGTTTATCTTCATAGATGGTTAAAAGAAATAGTAAAGCACTCGAATCATAAAAACCTTTTTTTGGCTTTTCAGTCCCTTTAGGCTAGATGTGTTTTTTTCCCATGGAGACTATGTGTAATCGAATGTGCGGTTTGTGCTGAACTGCACTGCAGGATTCCAACCACACAAAC